ATATCAGATTGCACGGCTTTTAACCGTTCTTTGGAACCATGTCTATTAAAAATATATCTAGATAATATAGTGGTATAGACTGAGCATTTGTTAAGGTTAAGAATAAATCTATATTACACATTTCTTTATAATTATTAGGGGCTAGATTAAGGATTCTTTAATTGCGCCTTAAACTACTCGATTGCGTTTCTGTTTTAATTTATCTTTTATGTAATGATTGTGTTTGTTGCCCATTAATTTTGCCGAATAATTGTCAGGCTTATTAATTTTTATATTGTATTGCGGGAATTTCATATTTGTCATTGCTGCTACGTGTTGGACTAAATCTAATTTGTCAAACAAAACATCTCTGGCTATAATAAAATGATTATTTTCAACATTAAACAATTTATATTCATTTGGGTTATATCCTACTAATATGGATTTAAAGCGTTTTTCACCAAATTTACCTTTCGAAATAATACTAGTTTTTACGGAATTTATCGCGTATATTTAACTTTTTAAATACCCGACGTTTCGAACGCTTTACAGCACTCATGGTCACGGGCGGGACTGAGATGTTCTACGTCCATATGTCATAGTTAACCGCGGTTACCATAGATTAAAATTTAACTTTTGTTCTGATCTATGCAGCATGAACTAATGGTATCTTGAAGTCTTGCAGTTGTATGCTTGGGTTGGGATTTAATTTTATTTATTATAGGATCCCAAGCAGATGGTAGCACCCAGCCATCTTCTCTATTCTATTTTATTTTGATTTATTCTATTCTAGACTCGAAGTTTGTTGTCATGCAAAACTTGCTTGACATGGTGGAGCTCGGCAACCAGGTGTTTACTGTCACAGATCCCTCGTGCTCTCTGAAACAAAGATTTACCCACGGTAGCTAACTGTGAAGGATGGTGGTGAGAATCACCGTTTAAATATCTATCTGGATGGGTCTTTTTTTCTATACACAGTATGGCTCAAGGTGTTATCAGGATTCCGTATTACTAACACATCTAGAAAAGCTAAGGAATTGTTTGCCTCTAACTCCATTGTGAACTGAATTTTAGAATTTATAGAGTAAAGATGGTCTAAAAATGCAGTTACTTTATCTAAAGGTAGAATTGTGAAAGTGTCGTGTACGTACCGCTTGTAGAATCTTGGATTTATGGGAGTACTAAGCAGGGCTTTCTCCTCAAGTCTTCCATGAATATGTCGGCGACAATGGGAGATACAGGTGAGCCCATCGCCACACCATCTACTTGCTTGTAGAACTCCTCCTTCCACAATAGGTAGCCAGATGTAAGGCAGTGTCTGAGTAATACTGCATATTCTACGGGCATGTTGTTTTCTTCCAGCCTTCTAGTTACAATTGAGATGCAGTCTTCAACAGGTAAGCATGTAAAGAATGACTGCACATCAAAACTGACCATAGTTTCATTGTCTGCCAGATGTAGGTCTTTAATCTCGCTGACAAAATGGTAGGAATCCTTTATGTGTGCTCTTGTATGTCCCCTGAGCGGTGAGAGTATTTACAAATATACAATATTCTTGCAATTTCGGTTAAAGTACGATTCATGCGCTCTGATACACCATTTTGCTGTGGTGTGTATGGTACCGTCAGATGATACATTATTCCCTTACAAACACAAAATTCTTTAAAATTGTTAAAAAGATATTCTCGACCATTATCACAATATAAATTTACAACTTTTAAATTAAACACATTCTCAGCCTTTGCAACATAATCCTTAAAATATTTCAATGTTTCCGATTTATTGCGCATAAGGTATGTTACCCTATAATATGTATTGTCGTCTATAAAAGTAACGAAATAATTGTTATCATCGATATTTGCAGGCGTTATTGGCCCACAAACATCGGAATGAATAATAAAAAGTGGTCTATTTTTAACAGATTTTTCTTTTGATTTTGCGAAAGGTAATCTACTTTGCTTGCTTAATATGCAAGGCTCACATAAAGCAGCATTCGGAATAATATTCCCTATAACGTGATAATCGTCGATCATATTTTTCAATAAAATGAATTTCTGTTTATTAACATGGCCTAAACGTCTATGCCATAAATCGTAAGATGATTCTTTATTAATATTTAAATGATTTATTGCTGTTCACACATGACATTATACATTCATCGTTTTTATATATTTTAACTGTACTATTACCAAAAATAACCATACCCGCTTGTTGGATGCGATAAACGGATAATAAAATTATACGGAACCTCAGGTGAAAACAAAAAATTGTCAATTGATCCATGTAATCCTAAGTTGATAGAGACATCAATTCGCCCTTTTCCGATCGCTAAAATACTAGTGCTATTTTTGACCACCGATTTTTATCGGAACGGATAGTTCTCGTATGAAGTAAAATAATTCAGTGTATTTACAATATGGTCTGTTGCATCTGAATCTAAAACAAAACAAATAACATTTGATGAATTTTGATCACAATTAATAAACTTACAATTTGAAGGCATAAAAGCGAAACTGTCATTATTTTTGTTGGATTCCATTATATTTAGGCGAACATTGCACATGATTAAAACTACTTTTACGTCCCCCGTGACCATAGGTGCTGGAAAGCGCCCGAAACGTCGGGAATTAAAAATAAAAAGTAAAAATAAACGCGATAAAATCCGTAAAATTAGTTTTAATCATGTCATTATTTTTGTTGGATTCCATTATACTGGCGGTAGATGAATATTTAGTATTAATTTCATTTTATTGAATTTTTTTAAAGAAACGACAATCCATTTTCATGTGATTTCTTCATCCACAATGCTCACAATATATTACTTATTTTATAAGTCGCATTACTAGGTTGGTGTATTTTCTTCGATCGAGAATAAAACTCTTTATTTTTATCAAATTTTGTGGGTATTCTAGGCGTCGAATGATTGTTACATGTAGTCTGTAAAATCTGTTGTTATTTCAGCCTTTAGTTTAACTTCATAACAGACGTGTTTTAACAAATGCTAGATTAAGGTGTTCTTCTCCGAGAGTTTCTAAAGCCGTGATGACGCCATTATATGAAGTAGGTTGTGTTAATAATAAATGCGATATTTTATCCATTTCGTCTAATTTGGCACCAGCCAAGATTAATTCCGATACTATGTTGTTGCAATTGGTAAAATTTTGCAATAAGGTTGTATCAGGTTGCAGCTTTAGAATAGGTAATTGCTTACGAAGTGCTAATTGCGTCGCTAAACTTCTTCTTTCGTATATTTTATCAAGTTCACTCTTGCAATTAAATTTTTCGTACTCCACTCTTAATTTGGGGTAGTTGGTACATCCTGATCAATTACGCTTAACACTTGTAATTCTTCTAAAAGTGATCTTATGCGAAATTTCCACGTAATATATCGCTCACCGTTAAATTGATTGACGTTTTTTATTACGTAAATCCATGTTTAATATACTTTTAAAAATCTTCACTAGTAATTCAATAAAGAACTACACTTTAAATATTACTTTAGGCAAAGAGACCTGGGACCATAACCTGTTGGAATATGGTTATGGAGTGAAAGAAAGTCTGTGTGTACTGTAAGGGATTCTATATTAGAATGCCCACACAAAGTATATCGTTTAACAAAGAAATAATTAATAGACTTGTTTTGACTATATCCATTATTTAAAGAGACTTTATGTTGACTAGTATTTTGTATATGCCAACAATATCAAGCTAACCGAAAGTTGTTACCAAACAAGAGCGCTATATTTCGTCTATATTCGGTGTTTCAGCTAATGATTCTTCGAATGCTCGTCTTATAGTTTTTCAGGTAGATTTTTTATTCCATTATAAATATTTTAGCACTATTTCGTGTATAATATGTAATTACCGCAGTTGCAATTAGTTACCTTAATGGTTCTGACAATTTATGTATGTGTACCACACCTGTGTCCTTGCATCGTCAAAAGAGACGTAATTTACTAACTTCCTTGCATCGTCAAAAGAGACGTAATTTACTAACTTAATAGCCATTTGAATGAACCTCAACACTAATTATTTAGTTATTGTATTATTTATTATTTTACCAATGTAATTAGTTATTATTTTACCAACTGACATGAAAGACAAAAATACTGAATAGATTTTGTTATACACAAAAACTCTGGGTGCGTTTGGCAGAAAAAAGCGCTAGCAAGCGCTTATAAGCGCTAAAATAGTTTTCGGCCAGGACACGATTGCTACTTCAGTAGCGCTGACACAATCCGCCATTTTGCTTATTTAATTTGTTTGTTTTGAAGTAGAGTTTATAAGTTGTTTTGTGCAATATTAGTTTTAAGTAATATAATGACATGAATAAACATATACATGCTATTAAAAACTCATGATTGGTAAGTTTTTAATATGAATACTTTACAAACATATATTTAAATTAGGTTAGATTCCCCGGTTAAAACTAACATCGTGTCCTGGAGGAAAATAGCTACTTACCATTTGACAGCGCTTACCGCTTACGATCGCCATTTTGCTTACAAGCGCTTGCTAGCGCTTTTTTCTGCCAAACGCACCCATTGTCCTAACTTTATTTTCTATTGTTACCGTTTACCGTTTCCGTTTCAGTCTATTAAAGTTCACTGATGAACATAGTCCTCCTAGATTGCCTCATAGGGGGGATGTTTGCCATAGTTGCCACACTTGTCAAACGGGTTGGCAATCGCAGTTTTTTTTAAATTTTATTAATTATCAGGAAGACGCTACTACCGCTACTACTACTACTACTTCTTACTCTATGTTTAAATATTATAAAAGTTAGTAAATTGAATAACAAAGGCGTAAAATATAAAATACTGTACTTATACATTTTAATTATATTACGGTTTAATTTTAATAAATTTGATAACGGTTTTTGAGGTTTTCGGTTTTTTTCGCGTAATTATTATTTAATGTAATTTTATTAAGTTGGAAATTAAATAACACTTCGATCGAAATTCAACATCTTGTAGACAAATAACTATTCACAAAAAATGCTAAAGCCTCGCCAAATAGTTTTATTTCTTAACGGTAGTTGGTGCAACGGTGGTGCCACCAGTTCCCGCTGTGGTTGCAGCGGTGGTGGTGGCAGCGGCTGCTGATGTTGCCGTGGTAGCAGGTGAATTCCAAGGTGAAAGATTCATGAGCCATGTGCCGTTTCTATTTGACACAGTGACACCCATGCCAGTCATGGGAGCTAAAAAAATAAAACAAATAATACTTACTTTTGGAATATTTTTGTCACAATTGAACTGATTCAATATTTAGCATTTTGTAACTAAATGATACTTTAAAAACATTAATGTTGTCTTCCAGATCAGATGTCGGTCATGGCGGCCAGTCTCCACGGAGACTAGCCAACAGCGTAGAACAGGATTGTTCCGATATTCCGATGGGACAGTAATCCGAAACGACCGAAGAGATATCACTATCTCACACACTATATCACATTATAACACAACGCATATGGTACAGTCCACCTGAAGCTAACTGGATGTTGTGGCCCATAGACATCCACATTTATCCTCGATTATGAATCAAAATTCAGATGCGTCACCCCTGAGGACTAAGATGGATTGCCTCGTTTCCAGTAAAAAGGCTCTTCGGTTCTCTACACTCAACATACGAAACACAGCAACATTAAGCTGCTGTTTAACGCCGGTATTCTGTGAGAGCGTGTTACTTCTCCGGTCGAGCCGACGTATTCGGTACACCCAAAATATAGCTCTGCCACGTATGGTAATCTATGGTAAATAGCTATTCCATAATTGCCTATTCTATATGAAAGGCCCTTGTTCAGCATTTTACTTTACCAGGTTATAATAATGATGATTATGACTTACGAATCATGAAACTAAGAGGAGCCATATTGGGATTCGGTATGTCTGTTGGAAGTCGTCGTCTTGGAGGTCGACGCGTTGGACAGTCACTACACGACACGAATAAATCATCAAAATAGTCTTCTGTACTGGTACTTGTCGTGCTCACATCATCCTCATCGTCGTCATCACAGAATAAATCGCACCAAAACCGTGTGCCGAAAAAAGGCTGAAAATCGAATTTTAGATTTCATATTATATAACACTTTTGTTTTATGTATTACTTACTTTTGGCTCTAATTCAAATACCTTGTTCGTTCATTTTCAATTGAGGTCGAAGAATTAAGTTTGAACTCTGGTTGCCGAGATAATTTATTTCAGTTTTTAGTGTTAAGTAAATGGAAAAGGATGCGAAAAAACTAACTGACTGAGAAAATATATTTTTAGAAGTGGCGGCAAATAAATTATTCAATAATAATTGAAACTTATTTTTGGGACTTGATTCCTCAAATGAGGAACCAAGTTTCGTCTTAATTTTATAATATTAAGCGAGCAACCCGATCACTGCCGACATCAATGAAATTGTTAGACAACTTCTGGTCTGTCACGTACTTTACGATGAAGGAAGATATTGAAGGATAATCTGCAGACAATTAAGAATATTCCAAGTATATGTGAAGCCTGCTAACATACACGATAATGTGTAAAGCCAACAAATCGCTGAGCATAGTGAACAATTTATAGGTCTAAGACCCTCTCAGAAGTGTTGCAGACTGACTGGGATACCAAGACAGATCAGATGGAATGTTAGCTCGTTCGACACGCAAATATTACGAAAAAAACATTTCGCAAGATAACGACTGTTCCACGTCAGTGATGATTATAACATTATAATTGTATTTTCTTAGCTCATACCTATGGTTCCCACAAGGTGATGACAGGTCCCAATTTAAAATAACGATACTGGAAAATATTTCAGTTAAAATAATAATTTTTGATTAACTACAGACTTAAAATTTGATTTAAAATAGGTTTAACAAACCTTGCCTACTGCCGAATGAAAACTCACAGATAACACAAGAAAATACACACACGTTCTCACAACACTCATGTTTGTTGTTTTATTATGAAAACTATTCTGTCGATTCCTTTCATACTTATAACGCGACCTTTACGCAAGTTAAGCTAATTATTACCAATAGGTGCCTCGTCAAAGATTATGAGTAACGAAGCATTTTTTATTCATTTAGAATTTTCATTTCTTATTAGTTTTAGATCATTGGCGAAATTAATTTTCAGTAATTAAAAATTAAAATAGACTTCGTTTATGCTATGATGACTTTGTTTGCTTAAAAAAGATACATAAGAAATTAAAAGTTGACAATAATTGGGTGGGTTAGTGTTCATTTGGATTCACTATAAGATGATTCCCTGACTTTGTTGTAGAAGATTACGACGGGTCACATCAGGTATATAATCAGGTATAACACATAAACACAGGTATATATATATATATATATATATATATATATATATATATATATATATATATATATGTATATATATTATTTGTGAAATAAGAATAGAAGGGGGAGTTGATCGAGCAAGTAGATGAGTTTGTATGTTTGGGCTGCGTATTTAGCAGGGATGGGAGATATGATAAGGATATAGAACGACGAGTGAATGCGGGAAATAGAGTAAATGGGGCCCTGTATTCTATTGTGAAGAGTCAACATGTGTCAAAAAAAGGCACGTATGGCAATTCACAATGCTGTGTTGGTCCCCACTTTAACGTACGGTAGTGAAAGTTGGGTGTGGCAGAAGAAGCACGAGATTAGAATCAACGCAGTAGAAATGCGGTCGTTAAGGAGTATTTTAGGGCTGAATGTGAACGACAGGGTAAGAAATTGTGTAATAAGAGAAGAGTGTGGTTTGCAAGATGATGTTGTAACCAGGATTAAGAAAGGAATGCTTCGGTGGTTTGGTCATGTGGAAAGAATGAATGAGGAAAGAGTGACAAAGAAAATTTATGTTGCAGAAGTGAATGGCAGAGTCTGAAAGGGACATCCTAGGCGAAAATTTATCGACCAAATTGGCGATTTATTGAAAACGGGCCAAATTAGGAGTACCCTTAACCGACGAGCATGTATGCGTAGGTGTATGGATGTGAAGGAGGCGAGAGAGGTGTGTCAGGATCGTGCCAAATGGAAGTCTGTAGTCTCTGCCTACCCCGCTGAGTGACAGGCGTGAGTGTTTATGTTATATATATATATAAAAGAAAATTGGTCGGAATTGATTGGATGTCTTGCACCTTTGAGTCATCCCATCGTTGCGTATGTGATGTACTAAAAGCGTTATATCTATACGGGATGCTTATATGATGGCGTGCCCACGGTATCTTCAAGTATTATTGTTTTTTCTGCCTAGTATCGTTTTTCATATTATATTTCTGCTGCCTGTATTGCTGTGTTAGAATCTGTATTCTGATCTGAACGATATAGTAAGTCCATCTTAGTTCTCAGAGATAGCAAAGCATTTGTCTTCTTCTTAGTTTGATGTTTACCACACGCTTTGCCCCTTTGACGCTCTTGTCCGTCGTCTGTAGTTTATGTAGTAGCAGAAATCCTAGTTTAGGAATTATTCGCGTGTACTACTGTATAATTGCATCTATTGTTACATATTCGCTAGGCTATCCGTTTGATTATCTTTGATAAAAATTTCCTTCAGTGGTATTGTACAAATTCTAATTTAATAATGTAGAACAAGATAATGTTTACTTGAATAGGTGTTTTAATTTTACTCGGGTATTGTAGTCCCTCGTCGTTTGGACACGGTCAAGTTTGAATGTCAACGTATACGTGTGTGTACACGTTGTTTGTGTCTGCTTATTGTATCGGAGGCAGACAAAGCCTGTGGAATACTAATTACTCCAAGGAACAATGTCCGTGAGCTGGGAGTACTTTGATAGCTCATTGAATTACGTATCTATTTAAAAATTATGTCAAGAAAATTATGTTTTTTTCTGCTATTGAATTAACTGAATAAAACTGACACTTTAAAAAATGTATGTATCAACTGTGCTATTTACCTAGCACTTAGTAAAAGGAAACCAGTGGAATATTGGGTAATTGTGTAGGCTATTATAACCTATCACTTCTTTCACAGTTTTCCATCTAAACCCATATTATTTGCATTAACGTGGACCGAGTAGTTTCTTCCTGTTTGGAATCTGCCAATCCCGTCGTGCATTATAGGCTTAGAGTTGTGAACGTATGTTATTATATTGATTAGCCACGTGCTAAGCGAAAAGAAAAATCATTAAGAGAAAATCTCAATGTCTGTGAAATCAAAAATTTCGGATATATGTGAAGCAGTTATTTCAGCAGAATAAGTGATAGCTCTCTCAGAAATGAGAGAAATCTGTGTAGTAGTAGTGGAACCAGGTCGTAGTTTTAATCTATTTTTAATAAGTTCTTACCTAATTAATAAGTTCTAATAGTAGCTTAATGCTGCTGTTTCGTATGGTGAGTAGAGAACCGGAGACCCTTTTTATTGGAAATTAGGTATTCCATCTTAGTCCTCACGGGTGACAACGCATCTGCATTTTGATTCATAATCGAGGATAGATGTAGATGTCTATGGACTACAGCAACCACTTACCATCAAGTGGACTGTGTGTTCGTTTGTCACCCTATACTATAAAAAAACCATGGAATTATTGTAAAAAATCGATTCTTGAACCAAACGGTTATTGATTAACCTTTTCGTTCGAGAATCGATTTTTTACCTATTTTTAATAAGTTCTTACCTAATTAATAAGTTCTCACAGGTTACCAGCGTAAAATAGTAGCTTAATGCTGCTGTTTTGTATGGTGAGTGTAGAGAACTGGAGACCCTTTTTGCTGGAAACGAGGCATTCCATCTTAGTCCACACGGGTGACAACGCATCTGCATTTTCATAATCGAGGATAGATATAGATCTCTATGGACCACAGCAACCACTTACCATCAAGTGGACTGTGTGCCGGTCGAGACGACTCATTCGTGCTACAACTAATTTAGCTGCAGCATGGCTCTACCACGTCTATTTGTCAACATATTTTAAGTCCCAACTAACTCTACACGGAAAAGTTCGGTAGGCATGATTTTTTTTAATTCTAAGCCAGAGCTTAGCTACAAACCCACCTTATGGTAAGTGGTGATGTAGCCTAAGATGGTGAAACGCACTGACTTAACAAAAACCCTTTCACTCTTGCCTTGAAGACACCCACATTGTAATCGGATGGAAAGACAGATGCCGGTGACTTATTCCACTCCTTTGTTGTAGGCATGATGAACGACGTAGCAAACCGTTTGTTTCGAATGCGTGGTAAGTCAACAACTAAAGGGTGGAGACAGGCCGAACGTCTGGTTGGCCGATGGTGGAAGGGAGAGGGAGGAATTAATTTATGCAATTTTTGGGCTCATTCTCCGAAATTCATCCTGTAGGAGACCGAAAGGCTGGCTACTTTGCGCCTGTGTTCGAGGCCGGTAAGATTGGTTTTAACCAGATTTGGGTCACAATAAGCCTCTCAGCATGCCTTTCCATTAAATCTAAAGCTGCTAGGTACCATTTTGCAGCACCAGCCCATATATGGCAGCAATACTCCATGCACGACCAGACTTGCGCTTTATATAAATTATGCAGCTGTCCCGGCGTGAGGTATCGCCGCACCTTTGCAAAAACTCCTAGTTTGTTTGCAGCTGCTTTGGCCTTGGACTCAATGAACTGCCCGAAGTTAAAATTTGAGGATATTTCAACCCCCAGCAATTTTCAATTTTTATTTTGTTGGTTGTTATAAGGAAGACGATAATCTCCTGATTTGTTAGAAATTCGACGACCCCATGTCATACTTAGGTAAGAAAAGTTAAATCAACATAAAACAACATGATTTTTTTTCATACTTTTAATCAATTCAACTTAATAACACACGTAACTTACTTACACGAAAGACTAACATTATTTTCTTATAAAAATTTAAATCTTGTAAATTATTATCAATGTACGTAATTATGTATACATACATATAATGTACGTAACTATGTGTATGTATTTAATCACATACATTTCACACGCAAAACAACAAAATTAACCAAAGGTTCAATACAATGAACAAACTATTAAGTTGATTATTGTTTATGATGGTGATAGTGTCATTTGAAAGTAATTTAATAAATACTAATTCTCAAAATTAACATTGTATTCAATCTTAGGTCGTTTTATTGTCTTACTGCCTACTTCCACGAGTATCGGCGAATAGTTGAATTTTGCCGGTGTTGAGGTGCAGTTGTTATGGGATATCGGGAACACGTATTTAATGTCAACATCATATCTGTGAAAAATCAACATAATTAACGTACTGTTATATTTATGTAATATATTATGGGGAAGAAAGATTCTCAAGTAGCAAACTTTTACATGCAAACACGGTGCTGAAAGATGGAGTGAATAACTGATTTAACATATAGAGTTGAAGGATGCTTGTAGCTTGTTCTTTGTGGTAATCTTCTATGAGGATGGCCTATGTTTATCTACGGATTTGAGGTAAGCAATCATAATGACGATGACCAGTGGCGGATTACCCTAGGTAAGTACGCAGGTACCACAGGCACCCCCTAGGGGCGCAAGATTAATGAGGGACGCGCGGAAGATTAAAAATTTCTTCTACTTGATTACACCCACATCGCCCTCACTCTCTTATCACATTTTCATTTACGCCCACTTGTTAAGTGTAGATACGTTCTAATTGTTTTGCTACTATAGAAGTATATTATAAATTATAACATAGTTTATTTTCAAAATGAGTAGTTATATTTTATAAGATACGGCCGTTAGGGGGGCGCTGAAGAGTTACTAGACTAGGGCGCTGTCGACATTTAACCCGCCACTGATGATGATATGCTTTCGAAGCGAAACAAAACTGATATCTTTAAACCATTGTTGCCATTTTAAGTGTAATTGTCAAACATTTGGTTTGACCAATGTATCGCTTATAGCGTGGGTAAAAAAAAACATAAGAAATATTATTTTAGTAATACCTATTCACCATCATCATCATTACAGCCCTTCAC